TCCTTGTTCACTAGACTCCACTCACGCTGGCCTTTCTGATCTGCAAAGACCACCAAGCTCATTTCTGCTTTAGGACCTTTGTACCTTTATGACCTAAAGTACCGGCTACTCCTCCTGCCTAAAATGGTCTGTGGTCCTTGCCCAGCTAACTCCTACATGTTATTCAAGTCTCCACTGAAGGCCACCTCCTCCATGTGTCTGTTCCTTACCATTCTCTTCTGACCCTCACTCCACCCTTGTCACTCGGCAAGACCTTTGAGATAAGCATGCTCCTTGACTTGTTGATAAACCCATCTCTTAAAAATAACAAGATACATGATAGTTATAGATTTATTAATGTTTCAAACTGCCATGTCAAATTCAGTTAAATGTTTGCTGACTGCTTTTCTATGAACAAGGCAATGGGAAGTAAGATGATTCTACCCTACCCTTCTTAAAGTTTCTCCTACCCATGTCCTGGTCATAAGGATGTCAGTACTCAAAAGGCACTGCCCAAAATCTGGTAAGGACTCTAAGATGCTCTCTCCCAGCCTATCACTATCCTAATTATATTTTACATACACGTAGTCTATAGGAAGTGAAATCCCATATTAGGGCTCACCTGCACATATCTTCAGAGTGTTTAACTTAAGTCTTGCACCTGAGGATAACTTTGGTACCCCTCCCTCTTACACACTGTTCACTATCTTTCCTCAGCATCCTTGAAATACATGACTTCAACTGTCTTTCTAGTACAAGCTGTCCTCATTGTTCACTGAACATTGTCCATCTGTTCCACACGGCCTGATAACAATGCCACCTTTTCTGTACTTTCTTTTCACCTCCAAAGGAATAGAATGTACTCAGCCACAGTGCATTTAAAGAGAGACTATTTGAGTCTCAGCCTTGAAAAGCAGGAACTGATCTGGTTTGCTTCTTGGCCAATAGTAAAGACACAGGTACCAGGTGACTGTTCATTAGAACTGTGGCCACAGAACAGAGGAAAGATTTACCAAGTGGGGTTCTATTCCTTCATCTATAAGATGAGCAAGAGAGAGAAGATGATCCCACAGACCTTTTCAACCTCAGAGAGGAGCCTTAACCTTAGCCCCATTAGGAGAGGGCTTCAATTATCTCCAGCATTTTCTCCATGTGGGGCTCTGCTGACCCACAGCTACTTCAAATTCCTAAGGCCCTGGCTCCAAAAGATGAGGACGAATACTCACTTTGATCCACTCAAGGTCATAAAGAAAGAGACTGATGAAACTGGGAGGACTTGCTCAGTCCTAAAGACCATCCAGTAGTTGATCCCAAACACGTCACAGCCAGGCCTTCAGCAAGCTCTCTACTCTGTGTTTAGTTTTCATGCCGAATAGCAAAGTCTATCCCCCTTATCCCCCAAATCACAAAGTTATTTTAGAAATGGAAATACATAACTCTCTCAGAGGAATAAAATTAAGCTACGAGGGGCACCTGGGTGGCTCAGTTGGTTAAGCAACAAACTCTTGATTTCGGCTCAGGTCATGATCTCACGGTTCATGAGTTCAGGCCCTGCATTGGGCTCTGCACTGACAGTGGAGAGCCTGCTTGGGATTCTCTCTTTCCCTGTCTCCTGCCCCTCATCCATGCTTCCTGTGGTGCTCTCTCTCTCAAAAATAAATAAATGAACTTTAAAAATAATCAAGCTAAGAATTCTTAAAGAGCAGTGAGATTATGAGACAAAGTCAAGGGAGCCACTTAAGACACCTATCCCCTTCTCCCAGTGTCCTCAGACTTGGCCACATGAACCTTGACAATCCTTAGGAGTTTGAAATAGCTGAGTGTTGGTCTAGCCCTGCCGGAGTAAATGCTGGAGATCATGAGCCCACGTAGCCGTGGCATTGTCATCAAGTTACTTCTGCCTTACCCAGACCTCTCTGCAGAGATATTTTCCTATTGGAAAGAAAGGGAGCCGCTGACCTCGTCTCTTTTTAACTGGGCTTAGCTCAGCTCACCAATGGGGCAGAGCTAAGGTTTCAGAGACCTCCAGTCAACACTTCTTCCTTCCTCTTCCCTTCCCAGAAAACACTGTATCCACTCCCATTCTCCCAGCCCGAGTAACCTGATTAATGTGTTTTCAGGCTCAGTGAATAAGAAACTCAATACACATGCCTCATTCACGGGGTGAAGAAAGAGAGCAAACAAACAAGGGTTTCTCTGAGATAGAACTTCAATTACTCACATAAGCTTATGTCTCACTGTATAATAATATTCTAATAAAGACACCAGATAAACCTCTGCTAAATGACAATGTGAAATCCTCCTTCAAGTACAAATATATATTAAGTACTAACATACTTGCCACATGCAAGAACAAAGTAATTTGTGTTGTAATATCCCAGGACTGTCTATGCATCAGATTTTCAGTCCAGCAAGGTTAAGGGAGGATTTTTGATGGAGGATGTGTCTATAAAAGACAAATTCAAAGATTAAGTCGGGGATTGTAAAATTTTATTTTTGTCAACAAAAACAGATACTATTAACTTTACAAGTAAGGCAAAATATTCTGGCTCATTTTAAGCAATCAGGATGTCTTTTTTTGAGATATAACTGACACATAACATTATATTAGTTTCAGGTGTACAACATAATGATTTGATATTTGTATGTATTGTGAAATGATCCCCACATAAGACTAGTTAACATCCATCACCACAGATGGCTCTAAATTTGCCTTTGAGAAGAACTTTTAAGATCTACTCTCCTAGCAACTTCCAAATCTACAGTACCGTATTAACAACTATGGTCACCATGCTGTGCATGACAGCCCGTGACTTATTTATTACTTATAACTGGAAGTTATAATGAAAGTTAGAATTAAACATGCAATGTGTATGTCTCATTAAAAAAATGCAATAGAGAAAAATGAGTAGGAAATTTGTGCAGTCAAGAGTCACGGTTTTCATCCTCAGCTCCAATAATTACCAACAAAACCGTCTCGGGCTAATCATGTCACATGTGAGTTTTATCCTTATCATCACCATACCCACCATCATTTCCACCTTATGGATAAGGCAATTCGTATCATTTCCCTGCCCACTGTGAGATCCAGACCAATCCTGTCTTTGAAAGTGTCTCATTAGCAGTTTTATACAGAGTATACATGAGACAGTGATTCATTCTAGCAGAATGTTTCCATTGTCCACAATGTAACATGTATCAAGAATCTTAAAAGGTTCATACCTGATTAAACAAAATGGAACGTGGGTAATGGGTACATGGGAGTCTCATACTATTCTCTTTGGTTCTATAGATATGCTTGAAATTTTCCATAACAAGGGGTTATTATAAAATTTTTTAACTATTTGATTTATTACCTTTTGTTCCCCTTTTTAAGGTATAGAATATTTTCATATTGCCATGATCTTTCTAGGTTTCCATTTTTACAACCCAAAGTTGCCTGATAAGTTTCTCTCAAGAGATTCTTGTCAATCCTCTCTTAAAGGGATGTCCCAGATCTGCCTTAAAGACAGATCAATAAATCAAGGATCTCCACTGGGAAGGAGGTAGGGGGCTACTTGGGATGTTCAACACAGAGCAACGTGTCCTTTTCTGTTGGTTAGGAAGCCTGACCCTTTTGTCTAACTGATGCCACACTGCAGGGGTCCCTGTAGCTGTGCTCTCAAACTGGGTTAATTACAGGTTGGGGTAGTTACCAGGGTGGGCATTAAAGCATCTGACCCCATCCTGATTCTGCATGTAGAATCTGAGGCTGGAAATCACTGTCTTCACAGCTCCTCTGTCTTTTCTTGTCCCTTGCAATTAGATCAAAGCTATTCTGATTCTTATTCCATTTGTACATTACCTTCCTCTCCCTTTTTCTTTAAAAGCTTTTAAAATCTTATAACGTTTGTTCTAAAATTTTACAGTGATGTGCTGTGGGTTGGCTCTTTTTTCATTCCTTTTTCTGGGCAATCAGCATGTCCTCTTTTTTTTTTTTTTTAAGTTTTATTTATTTCTGAGAGAGACAGAGTGAGCAGGGGAGGGTCAGAGAGAGAGGGAGATACAGAATCTGAAGCAGGCTCCAGGCTCTGAGCCAGCTGTCAGCACAGAGCCTGATGCAGGGCATGAATCCATGCACCGTGAGATCATGACCTGAACCGAAGTTGGACGCCCAACTGACTAAGCCACCCAGGTACCCCAGCATGTCCTTTTAATATGAAAACTCACATCCTTCAGCTTTGGAAGATTTTCTTGTATTATTTCTTTCATAATTTCTTTTCATAATAACCAGCCTCCTCTGTTCTCTCAGTTAGGAACTCTTCTCAGATAAGTGTTGAACCTTTGAGATCAATCCTCAATGTCTCTTATTCTTTCACATTTTCAGTATTTTCACATTTTTGTTCTACTTTCCAACTACTTGGTTTCCTTACTTTACTTTTTTTTTTTAATTTTTTTTTAATGTTTTATTTATTTTTAGGAGAGAGAGAGAGAGAGACAGCGTGAGCAGGGGAGGGTCAGAGAGAGAGGGAGTCACAGGCTGAAACAGGCTCCAGGCTCTGAGCTGGCAGTCAGCACAGAGCCCGACGCGGGGCTCGAACCCATGAACTGCGAGATCATGACCTAAGCGAAAGTCGGACACTTAACCGACTAAGCCACCCAGGCGCCCCTCCTTACTTTACTTTCTAAGATTTCCTCAACCTCACTTTTCGACTTTACTCCTCAATTTCCTCTCAGCAAATCAGATTTTAATTTCTAAGGGCTCTAATTATCCAATTATTCTTTTTCAATTTCTTATTTAGTCAATGTTATACCTCCATGAACTCTCAGAGAACATTAAGAGTTTCTTCCACACTCTTTTTCTTCATTTAATTCACATACTTGGTTTGCCATGTGTTCTATTTATATGCCAGTCCATATGTGTGATCCCGCCCACCTATGAAGAAGGAAACCTATGCCACGTGTAAAAAGGCAATAATTACTTTTTGAAAATGACTACAACGAGGAGCTTACTTATGTGCACGAGAAGTGAGCAAGCTTACCTTCATGGAGTCAGAGTATAAAATATATTCCCTGAGCACAGGTAGAAAGTCTTCCGTCATGTCGTCTGTCAGCTCTTCCAAGGCTGTGGAGCAGTGGCCAATGCAGGCGGACACACCCTCCAGAGGCTCAGCAAGCTCCCCTTCTAACGCACTCCACGTGGAGTACACAGGCCCATATTCTCTCAGCTCTACAAGGTACTCTGAAGGGGACAGAGAAACTAATTAGGCCTTGGCAGGTAATTAAGACGGTCACCGGTATTACTGGTGTTACTGACTCCGTAACGAGAGCTCTATATAGTAAGATATCTTTCCCTGGCCATTCACTTACCTGAGTGTGCTCCCCTTTGAATACAACATTGTTTACAGTTTTTTTTAATCTCTAAAACCCCATCTTAGAAGCTAACATCATAGCATCACCTGACTTTACCCCACAATGGGAATGCCATGCCTGTGGATACTGGGGACCACAATGCCTTCTGGGGGAAGTGGTAGGAGCTACATCCACCAACTATCTTCATAAATAACCACTCACCTACTCATACAATGGAGAAGGATTTTTAGCAGCAATGGGGACAAAGTTTCACATAGTTTAGAAGGATGTTTTTAAAGGAAAGAAAAAACAGTCACAACGGAAAAGTAATGGGATTTTAGGCAGTATTTTGATATGGACGTGGTCTTACATAGGCAGAATTACTCTCATTCAGAGTTCATCCCAACACCTTGGTCCCGTCAGAATTTATTCCACCTGCTCCTTAGATGAGGATGGTACCAAAAGCTATCTCTGGCACCCACAGGCCCCCCATGACACCATTGGTGGGCAGAGAAGAATGAAAGCACAGGGAACAAGGGGAAATGTTGATTTATCTCCGTTCAGAAAGAAAACCTCCCCTCATCATTTGTCACCAGGGTTCTTGCCTTTACAGCAAAATGTTGTTGCCATTTTTTAGTAACCAGCAGATGGCTACTGCTGGAGAATTCTTTTCAATGTATTTCAGGTCTCGGAATCTGAAGTTAACCAGCATGATTGTTAACACCACTCTGGTCTCTCTGGCCACCACGCGTGTGAAAAGACAAGAGGCTCTAACATTCTGGGATATAGAGAAGCAGGTGACCCAAGAGAGCTGGGGACAACGTGGTGGCAACAACTCAGAAGGTTAAGGAAAGTTCTGTCAAGTCCCCAGGTCAGGGAGAGTGGGTTTGAAATGAAGCAGGGGTGGGGCAGGTGAGTCCATTTCAAGTTGAAGGCTCATGAGGACCGTAGCTTTGGCAAACACAGGTCTCGAGGCTATCCCTCTGAACCATCTTTCTGCCAGAAAAGGTACCAAAGTTTTGCTTTTTCAAGTATCATTCCTTTGAATGAAGGGAAGTTGAGTCAATGTCTCCATTTTTAAAGCTAAAATGAAGAGACAAGAGAGAGCAGTGGAAAAGTCTGGAAGCTCAGAAGTGGCTGTTTGCCACGAGGAAAGCAAGGCGGAGGAGCAGGGCAGAGGATGGAGCACAAAACTATACTCCGGTTACCACGACCTCCTCCCCTCCTCGTATTTACTTACTAGCTTTGTAAGTGCAGTGCGGCCTCGTTCTGTCATGCCAGCATTTCTGCAGTTTGAGTCTGCTGCGCACTTATAAGTGCCCACACGCACCCTGGGCACGACCAAGATCTCGACAGAGGGCTCACCTATTTCTTCTTTGATGATCCGCTGGGCTATTCGATCGATGGTTCCCAGTTTGAGCGCAAAGGTGTCTAAGTAGTCGCCGATGGCTGCGAACTCCAGGGGTCGACTCCTCAGCTTGTAGCCTCCGGTGACCTGCTTGACGGACTCGCCCACTCTAGACAGCAGTGCCATCCCCTGCTTCTTATAGGCGTTCAGGTCCTAAGGACGGCACGTTAACAAACAAACTCGAGGGGCTCAATCGCTCCCACGGCCAGGATTCACTCCCCTTCCAACCTCACATACTCTTATCTACACGGAAAACATCCCCACAGACACCAGGTTTCCACAAGATCGTAACTGAAGCCTGGCAGTTCTTGGCATTGCTTCCACAGACAATAATTTTTGGACTCAGGCTAGACCCGAATGGGCTCGCTGGATTGCAGAAGCTCTATTTCAAGCAGAGGCTTAAATGAGAACCCTCAGTTAATGGAGTTAATGAATATATTGAATGCAGTTATTCAGCAGCACCTATCTGACTGCTGCACACATTCTGCCAAAGATGAAAAATACTGATTTGAACATGATTGATACCAAGCGACCCCCCACCTCCCACCCCGAGCATGACTGGATTCTTGGTGATGACACTTCTGGTTTGTGACAAGTTCGGGTCATCCCAAGAAAGAGGAATGCCTCTTCCTTCACTGTGGCAGAACATGTAAAGGGCTCGCTTGAGTTAAATAAGACCAAGGGATGAGGGCACTTGCTGGGTTGAGCACTGGGTGTTGGATGTAAGTGATGAGTCACACGAATCTGCCCCTGAAACCAAGAGCATGCTGTACACAACGCGTGTTAGCTGATTTGACAATAAATTATAAAACAAAAGAAAAATCAAGACCAAGGTACTAAAGGTGTGTTAAAAGGTGGGGACAAGGGGACAGGAAGCGGGAAGTCACTGTGGCACCACATTGCACAGTACAGTACACTGGTTCAGGCTCCTGAGATGAAAACGTTGCAGAGATCAGTCGTGCAAGTGTATGAATATACTTAATGCTATGGAAATGTGCATTTTTAAAAAACGGTTAGGATGGTAAATTTCAGATGTATTTTACAATAGAAAAAAAAGAAAAGATGGCGGTATTTGGTACATTTAGTTCAGCAAGTAGAACTGAATGGGGGCTAGAACTTCTGTTTTAGAGCAAACACCCCTGCATTTGCCCACGTGAAGCTGGAGTTTGATTAAGACACTGAAGGACCTTTTTTTTTTTATATCACCTTACATACTGAATACCACACACACACACACACACACACACACACACACACCCCTTTCCACTTTATTTTTCACATAGATTCCTAATGACCCAGGGTCCACACATTCTCTCCTTTTGTCTCTCTGTTCAGGAAAGATGGCCAAGACCAACTCCTGCCTGATACGTGGATGAGGCACTGACTGCACATGTGCAGAACAGGATGGATTTCACTCTGCATATGAGCTGAAAGAACTATATTTGAGGATCTGTTCACCAGGAAATACTTATTTAGAAACAGAACACAGGTTTGATGGAGGGGACGGGGTGGGGGACAATCCTCTAGGAAAAAACAGAAGATGAACGGGAATGTCATCAGTGAAGTGAAAAAATGTCAATTGTAGTTTTAAAAAAAATACGAAAGGACTTTGCCATGTGGTTTCCATTGTCTGGAGAATGGCACCCTCTCTAAAATCTTTAACATCACCTGATGTTATCTGTAAATATTTCTCAATTATGCCATTTTGAGAAAGAAAACTGGCAAGTTCCGGAGCCTCAACACCCTTGCCAACATAAAACAAACTCCCTGCAGCCCGAGTTTGGGAACATGATTCACGAAAGTAAACAGATGGGGCCACGAGGAGCTGGCACGAGAGTCTGAGCCTGAGACCCCTTTCCTGCAGACATTGAGGGCAGAGTGCGTCACACTTCCTGCTGTTCTGCCAACAGGAAGTGCAGAGACACCGGCGAATGACCAACCTGGGTGTGAACACACAGAATCTGGCAACTGGGTGGGACCCAAATGTTTCTCTGGCAAATGCTTGGAAAATGCCCACCCAGTAGGAATTTGGCTGCGGGCAAGCAACACTGAACTAGCCTCTGTCAGGCAGTCTGATACAGAGCAGAAGGGTGGCCTCTGGGGCCTTAAAGACCCAATGCAAATCCAAACGATGCCAGCTGAATGGCCCACTTCTTCATCGGTAGAGTGAGGTGAGAGTAACCTCTTACAGGGTTCTTGGGAAGAACATCCTTATCAAACACTCATTAGATGTTCTTTCCCTCAGGACCCACTTGTTGGTCGGAATGGTCTCACCTATTGAAATGCCAAGAAGAATTCAAGGAAACACTCGTCTCTGCTTTTGGCAAGTGAAAATACCTCCTCTCTGCTGCAGTGGGGGTGTTTCTCCTGAATTCTAACATGGAAACCAGGATGATACAAATGGACACCAAAAAAAACAGAGGAATTTGACGACATCCACTATAGCGGGCCATTCCTGAAGGTGGTTTGTGAGAGAGCAAACAGCTCTTAAGAAAGAGTCCAAAGAGGGGCACCTGGGAGACTCAGTGAGTTAAGCATCTGACTCTTGACTTTGGCTCAGGTCATGATCTCAGGTTCTTGAGTTCAAAACCTGCTTCAGGTTCTATGCTGATGGCACTGAGCCTGCTTGGGATTCTCTCTCCCCTTTTCCCTCTGCCCCTCCCTCATTTGTGCATGCTCACTCTCTTTCTCAACATAAATAAATAAACTTAAGGTAAAAAAAGAGCCCGAAGAATGCTAATTTGGGGGAGGAATATGAAAAATTCTGTTCTTACCTTAGCAGTAAGGAAAACATTAAAGTGTTCATTGAAAGAGAGCACAGGATGATCTGTAATTCTTTTCAGGAATTTATCCAATGCTTTTCTTCTGGTCTCCACAAACTCTTCTGAAAAACGATCTACAACACCCTTCACCACAAACTTCTCAGGAAGCGGCTGTGAAGACAGGGAGAAACATATTCAGAGTAACTGATAAGACAGTGGAAAGAAAAACCACGGGCTAGCAAATAATTCCTAGGACTCATCTGTCCAAGAACATACTCCTTATTCGGCTGGCTCTTTATGCAGGCATCAATAAAAACATTTCTGAAATTCAGAGATGGAGGAAATCACAACTAGAACTCAAGAAGTAAAATGTTAGAGGATAGCCTCTGGAATACAGCAGCCAGTCAGCCCATGTTTATCCAGTAAATCCAAGAGGGCTCACTGTGGCAGCACATACCCTAAAATTGGAACAGTGTAACCAGAGGTTATTAGCATGGCCTTTGCACTAGGATGATCATGAATCCAATAGTACAGCTATTGAGACATTGCTTAACATACAGGTGGTATGACGAGAAAGTTAGGGCCAGAAACATGGTCTGAGGAGAGAAGGCAGACAACAGCAATCACACAAAAAAATATTTAAATGTATTTAAATATTTTAATTAAATATATCACGATTTTACTCCTAGTTCAAGAGGTAAAAGAACTTGGTGAATGTGAAAACAAGTACATTAGGCAAACCCTTGTAGCTAAAATAAATACCTTTTCTAAGCCAATCTTTTGAGTAGGTGTATGCTCAAAAGTTCTTAAAAATGTAATTTCCTCTGGTCTTACTCAAACAAATTTCTGTAATATTTACTTTGAGCCAATATTGTGGGCAATTGAAACCTACCTGGCTACTGAAGGATCTTTGAGCTCTGACCTATTTCCATAGTAGCTTGAATAAATGCTTGATTAAAAGGCCTTCCTCATTACTGCCACCCCATGAAGACAGCATATCTGCTAGTGTGCAATTTGAAAATGCTTGGTTTAATATGAAATATTAAAAGAACATTTACATTAAAAACTGGGCAAATGATCGGTAGATATTTTTTCTTTCTTTCTTTTTTTTTAAAATAGTTTATTGTCAAGTTGGTTTCCATATAACACCCAGTGCTCATCCCCACAAGGGCCCTCCTCCATGCCCATCACCCCCCTTCCCCTCCCCCCACCCCATCAGCCCTCAGTTTGTTCTCAGCATTCAAGAGTCTCTCATGGTTTGCCTCTCTCACTTTCCCCCACCATTTCCGCCCCTTCTTCTCCCCCTTGGTCCTCCGTTAAGTTCCTCCTCATCCTCCTATACGGGCAAACATATGATATTTGTCCTTCTCTGCCTGGTTAGATATTTTTTCAAAGGAGATCTACAAAATGGCCAACAAGGACTTGAAAAGATGTTCACATCGTTAGTCATTAGGGAGATACAAATCAAAACCAGTGAGATATCACTTCGCACCCCTGAGAATGGTCATCATAAGGGAGGAAAGAAAGGAAAAACAGCAAAACAAAGAAAAGACTAGTGTTGATGAGGATGTGGAAAAACTGGAATAAGCATTTGCGTCCCACAACCTCCTTCAGCCCCATATTCTGGCCATAAAGAGGCTTTTTATCCTTTTAAGTTATAAACCCTCGGGCATCTGGTGGTGCAGTCAGTTAAGCATCTGACTCTTGGTCTCGGCTCAGGTCATGATCTCTTGGTTATTGAGTTCGAGCCCCCATGTCAGGCTCTGCACTGACAGCGTGGAGCCTGCGTGGGATTCTCTCTCTCCCTCTCTCTCACAACAAATAAATAAACTTTAAAAATAAATAAATCCTCAAGTTCACACACATACACACAAAAACAGACACAGGACTTCGCCAACCCATAGCAGTGGAATCCTAAGGTAGGTGGAGTGGGAAACACCCCTAGAAAGCAGCACGTGAGGTGTGGGGGATCCAACAGCCTCAATTTGGAAGAGCTTTGGAGAGTCCGTATGATTAAACTCCAGAATAAAGACTGTGGTCCCATGCCTCTTGGATTCACATTCCTCCTCTGCCAAGCTGTCTGACTTCGGTCAAGTTCTATAATCTCATGGTACCTCAGCTTTTTTGTTTGTTTTAATATACTTTTTTAAAATGTTTTATTATTTCTAGGAAAGAGAGAGAGACAGCGTGAGCAGGGGAGGGTCAGAGAGAGAGGGAGTCACAGACTCTGAAACAGGCCCCAGGCTCTGAGCTGGCAGTCAGCACAGAGCCCGACGTGGGGCTCGAACCCACGAACCGCGAGATCATGACCTAAGCGAAAGTCGGACGCTTAACCGACTAAGCCACCCAGGCATCTCTACTTTGTTTGTTTAAAAAAAAAAAAAAAAAAAAAAGGCAAGCAATAGTGCCAGCCTCTTGGTGTTGTTATGAGAATTAAATTAGCTACGAGGCTGAAAATGCTTCACACCATTCCTGCTGCAGTGTGAACACCAATAACCGTGGGGGGTGTTCCTTTCTTGACGGAGTGGCAGCAGCTTCAGATCGTGCTAATCTCCAGAGGCAGCCGTCTTTAGTTAAATCTTGAGATGGTGGGAGTCTGATGCAGAGAAGAGGTTATGAACTGAGAGGTTTCTTTTTATCAGAGCAGGAGTTCTAGAGAGCACAGTGGAAAGGTTTGGAAATGAAGAAAGAGAGGGGAGTCAAGTCAGGGATAAAATTACAGAGCTACACGGAGGTAAGATGTCCAAGTAGGACTCCCAGTGGAGCTTATGCCTGGGGAGAATATTAGAAACGCAGGACTGGGTCAGATGCACAGACCATCCAGGCCAGTGTGCTGGTCCAGCCAAAAGCACAGGGGAATCTGTCTTAATAGGGCATGGTTGTTCTTTAGGTTAACTTCCTTGTTCTGATCCATTCTTCCCCCATTCCCTTAGACGGCCATTGTCCTTAAACCCTACACTCAACACCCAACCTTTCATGCTAAGCAGATTACCATCTCTCTGAAGAAGGAACCAGGTGTTAAGGGCATCACATAAACATTCCCTAACCATGTTGCTTCCTCTACAGATAGCCACCTCACGTCCATTTGTCAGGTCCCTGTGGGCAACACACCTCCCCAACTCACCATAAAGCTAACTATTCCACCTGTGTCTCTGACCCATTACTTCACGATCATGCTTGTGTTGTCATCAATTAATTATACCTTCTCTTCCCTGTACCTTCAACGTTTTCTCCTTATCTGGCTCTGTTCCCGAGTCTACAAAAATATGGTTGGTTCTCTTTCTACCCCAAATAATAAACCCACCTATGCCTTAATCTTATATCTTCTCCACTCTCCTTCAGGGGTCATTCAACCTTTTTGAAAGAATCGTTTTTCTCTCTCTCTTTTTTTAATCTCTTTTTAATTTGAGAGAGAGTGTATGTGTGTACAAGCAGGGGAGAGGGGCAGAGGGAGAAAGAGAGAGAATCTTAAGCAGGCTCCATGTTCAGCACAGAGCCTGAGGCAGGGCTCGAACCCATGAACCATGAGATCATGGCCGGAGTGGTAATCAAGAGTCCTATGCTCAACCAACTGAGCCGCCCAGGCACCCCTAAGCATTTATCTTAACTTCCACTCCTTCCACTGATTTCTCAACCCCCAACCTTCCTCCACCCAAAACAAAGTTATCTTTGGTTCTGCCTTCAATGCTACATTTCTCTGCCTCATCTCCATCCAGTGCTGACTCCTTTTTTTAAAATGTTCATTTATTTATTTTGAGAGAGAAAAAGTGTGTGTGTGCATGGCAGAGAGAGAGGGGGAGAAAGAGAATCCCAAGCAGGCTCTGTAATTGCAGCACCGAGCCCAACATGGGGCTCCATTTCACGAACTGTGAGATCATGACCTGAGCCAACATCAGGAGTTGGACACTTAATCAATGGAGCCACCCAGGTGCCCCTGGATAATGCTTTTTAAAAGATGACTAATGACTTTCTAAGTACCAAATCCAGTGGGCATTTTTCTGTTCTTATTTCATGAGTCCTGTTGAGCACACTCTGGTTGCTTATGCCAAATAGGGCTTGGGAGGAAAGCCTAATGAACAAATAAGTGGCTAGGTGTGCTTCATTAAACACCGCAGATACCCTCCTGAAATACTTATTCATCCTTTGGATTTAGTACATTCAACTTTATGTTTAATGAACCAGGGAAGCTGCTATTTAAGGGAACCCTGGAGTGAATCCTTCTGCAAACAGAATTTCCTTCTAACCATTAGTATTCCCAGATGTACATGGCTTTAGAAATTTGTTTCTTCCTATTTCAAGCCTGAAAGGGGACACACTTACAATCAGCCTCACCTTTATAATTACCTTCTGGCTTGTTTGTGCAGAGGAATCTGGGTTGCTGATGGAATCAGGTGCATCTATAGACTGTAATCGAACAAGTGAAGAGCTCGACAGAGCCCCAAGCACGTGGTAGATGGCATATACATGCCAGCTATCTTTATGACCTTGTAAACACTGAAAACAGAAGGCAAAAGGAAAGTGGACCAAAGGGTGGAACTTCCATATATCTCTTAGGCCAAAAAACCCTCTGGGATACGTATACCATTGCGAACCCACTAGAATGGCTATAAAAGGGGGCGGGGGAAGGAAGCAAGTATGTGAAGAAATTAGAACCCTCATACATGGTTTGTGAGAATGTAAAATGGTGCGGCCTCTGTGGAAAACAGCTTGGTGGCTCCTCAAAAAATTAAATGTAAAATTAGCATATGATCCAGAATTCTATTCCTTGGTAAGCGGCCCAAATAACTGAAAGCAAGTGTTCAAATAAAACCCTGTACAGTCAGTGTTCAAGGAGCATGATTCATAATAGTTGGGTTGGGGAAAGGGGGAATGAGAAGTGACTGCTTAATGCATACGGCATTCTTCTGGGGGTGGTGAAAATATTCTGGAATTAGATGGTGGTGGTGACTGTGAAACACTGTGAATGCACTAAAAGCCACTGAGTTGCACACTTTAAAATGGTGACTTTTATGTCCATCAACTGACGAATGGATCAAGAAGATGTGGTTTATCTATACAAAGGAATACTACATGGCAATGAGAAAGAATGAAATCTGGCCATGTGTAGCAACATGGATGGAACTTGAGGGTGTTATGCTGAGCAAAATAAGTCTGGCAGAGAAGGACAGATA